TTTTCTGAGAAACCACCATACTGATTTCCAAAGTGGTTGTACAAGTTTGCCTTCCCACCAGGAATGGATGAGTGTTCCCCTTACTCCACATCCTCTCCAGCATAAGCTATCATTGACGTTTTTGATCTTAGCCATTCTATCAGGTGTAAGATGGTATCTCAGAGTTGTTTTGATTTGCATTTCCCTGATGACTAAAGATGTTGAATGTGGTTCTGGCATGATTGGATATCAACATGTAGAAGAATAAAAATAGATTCATATCTATCCTCATGCACAAAACTCAAATCCAAATGGATTAAAGACCTCAATATAAATCCGACCACACTGAACCTGATAGAAGAGAAAGTGGGAAGTAGTCTTCAATGCATGGATACAGGAGACCACTTCCTTAATATAATCCCAGTAGCACAGACACTGAGAACAACAATAAATACATAGGACCTCCTGAAACTGAGAAACTTCTGTAAAGCAAAGGACACAGTCAATAAGACAAAAAGGCAGCCTACTGAGTGGAAAAGATCTTCACCTACCCCTCATTAGACAAAGGACTGATCTCCAAAATATATAAAGAACTCAAGAAATTAGACATCAAAATTCTAAATAACCCAATTGAAAAATGGAATACAGAACTAAGCAGAGAATTCTCAACAGAAGAATCTCAAATGACAAAAAGACACTTAAGGAAATGTTTAATGTTTGACCTTCTATGAAGGAAGTCATCTGTCTTGGCACACATTACTTAGCTGGTGGAGGCTAATGAAGTACATGTGGTTTAAGTTTGGAAGACACTGCAGCTTTCTGTCTTTCTCTTCATAGTATATTATGCCTCACAAGGATTTTATATCTATGATCCTTTGTTTTCAAATCTAGGAAGATATTACTATACTTAGTTTAGATGTGAAATGCCTCCCAAATATTAGGACCCCTGTCCCCTTCTGGGTATTCCTGCTGTATGTAGTAGAGCCTTCGCGCTTCTCCTTGCTCCCTGGACATCTGACTGTAAGCCAAAGTGACTCTTAGAAGCATGAGTGTTTCTTGTTCAGTTTCTATGATGTTTACTATACAAACTTTGCAGTGATCACTTACAGACTCAGCAGGTTGTTCAGTTCGTGTTCTGTTGTCTATTTCTGAGGAGTTTGAGGATTTAAGACCATTGTCTTTATAAATAATGGTGTTACAAAGATATTCATAGAGGACCTGATTAAAGGCGTTCCTTGCTTGGATTGGTACAATTTCACATGCCTCTTTTGTCCTCTAGGGGGGATGGACAGCTCTCATGTGGGCGTGCTACAAAGGCAGGACTGATGTTGTCCAGTTGCTGCTTTCTCACGGTGCCAACCCAAGTGTCACTGGTTTGGTAAGCATTAACAAAAAAGTGAATTTGTAATGTAAATAGTAAGTTTTCTTGCAGAGTGCTGCAGGATTTTTATATGTCATAGTGGGTGGAGATTTTTTAGATCATAAGGAATATTGTATAGAATGTATACAATGAAAATTTTATACGCTCTCTTTTCTCAGTTCTTCCAATGAAAAAGCAAGCTTTGAACTTGAATGTTAACCGTAATTGTGTAACATTTCAAAAGGAAGTTGTGAATTCCTTGGTTATCTTACTGTGGGTGCATCCTTTCCCTGAGTTTCTTGAAAAGATGTTTACCAAGAAGCCATACCTTTTTTCTGTACATTCTATATATTTGTGTATATACGTTTTACTTCTTGTTCTGCTTATTAATCATGCTTACTGGCTAATTACAATAAATATGTTAACTCCGCAGAAACTAATGTGTTGATAACATATGTTTATTTAAGGCTTAACACGTCTTAGTTTTAATTATGTATTATGGAGTATTTGTGTTTTTAAAGTGGGGGATGGTCTCTAACTTGATTAAAGAAATATTAGTTTGTGTTAATTCTGCTGGTATTTATTAGTAAATTTGTGTTGTAAATGCCCGTCTAAAGACTTTCTTCTTCCTCCATCCTCATATGTTCCCATGTTTCCCAGCAGTACAGTGTCTACCCTATCATTTGGGCAGCAGGCAGAGGCCATGCTGACATAGTGCATCTCCTGCTGCAGAATGGCGCCAAAGTCAATTGCTCTGACAAGGTGAGTTAGAGTCTCTCACATGGAGTGTCCACGTTATAAACGTCTCTGATATATCTTAGTTTTGTATTCTAACATTTTTATAGATGCAAAGCTTACAGATGGGTCCTCTGAGTTATGGACCAAGTGTTCTCTTGATGTTTATTACATTAAATTCATTATTCTCAAAAGACACAGATAGTGGACCTGTGTCTTCATTGTTTGAAGTTTTCTATTATATATAGCTCTTCTTCCTCCTTTCAATCTTACCTACATTGTTTGTGTGAAAATTACCTTAAAATTTAAGTTTGATTCTCTTTCTCTCATGCTTAGATTTCTAGAGCTGGTGGTGTGGTGATTGGAAATAATGGTTGCAAGTTTTGTTTGAAGTGTGGAAGGAAGGACAGTGAAGGGCTTTTAAGAGGGAAGGCTGCTGGGAAAGTTGTCTCAGTTAGATCACTATTGCTGTGATGAAAGAGCAAGACTCCTCCACATCACAGTCCATCATCAAGAAGGCAGGACAGGAACTCAGCAGAGCAGGATCCCGGAGGCAGGAGCTGATGCAGAGGCCATGGAGGAGTGCTGCTTACAGGCTTGTTCCCTATGCCTTGCTCATCCTGCTTTCTTATAAAACCCAGGACCAGCAGCTGAATGATGACCCCACCCACCATTGGCTGGGCCCTCCCCCAGTGATCACTAAATGAGACAGTGCCTTACAGCTGGATCTCAAGGAGGCATTTCTTCAGCTGAGGTTCTTTTCCCTTGATGACTCAAGTTGACACACAATTATCCAGGACAGTTGGTTAGCCAAGGAAAGCCTGAACTGTCAGGACTTGAACCAGAGACCTAACGGGAAGGGAAGAGCAGGATGGGAGGATGTGATAGGAGAGGAAGCAGTTGGGTGATGTGATGAAAAAGAGGGAGATAGGATCTGAAGTGTATGTGAAGGGAGCCTGGCCCTCAGGAGCGTGTGCTGAGACTGTGAGAAACGTGTACACGAAAGGATTCTATTTGGGGGGAAAGATCAGAATTTGAACTTGAGAAGAAGGTAATAGAGTTATTGAGATGGTTGAGCACTAATTGAAAAGCCATTATGGAGCAGACAGGAAGCAAGATAAAGAAATTCTTACCAGAGAGCTGCATTTCTTTGTAAAGATAGTGTTGAGATGGCTGTTCCTTAGGGTCAGGACGAGTTGGCCAGTGAGAAGGAAGAGAAAGGACAGACGTTCTAGCAAATACTCTGGCATGTCATTCTCTGAGAAGGGACCAAATACGATGGGTGCTTGAGGGATGAGAACTTATGTCTGATTCATAAAACTAAGGCTGTCTTAATGAGTAGTAAGTGTGCATGTCTGTTATCCTTAAGAATACCTAGGATAATGTGTTGTGGGGCTAGAGGAGGTGCTTCAGGAAGACAGCATGTTACCTACAAGGCAGGAGGCTGGGAACACTACGGATGGAGGAGTAAAATTTGAGTGTTTTTCCTGCATCCCTTACCCATCTCTCTCAGCCTGTTCTGGTCTCATACCCCTCCTTTTGGTTGGCATATGCTCCCACTTGCTGTACTCAAGCCCTTGATTTTCTGCCACAAGGACCCATCTTTCAAGAGTTTTCAGGGGTATAGTTCCCAAGAGTGTGGCTGATGTCTCTTATAGAAACTAGCCACATAGAGCTGTTTAGATTTAATTTAAAATTAAGTAAAAGTAAAAATTTATAGTCACAATATCTACATTTTACATACTTAAAGTCATACAGACTAGTAGCTTCTTAATGTATGAGCAATGCATAATAATAGTTTTTTTTTCTCTGTTCAACAGACTGTCAGGGGCTATTTGTTTATAACTGTGTTCAAGTTTTCATGGACATAAAGCGCACTTTGGGTATTTCCACCTATTGATTGGACAGCATTCCTTTATGTCTGGTTGTTAGTTCTTGATGCTTTCTGGTCATGTTCCATGAAAGGTGCTTTTAACAGTTTGTGGGCTGCAGTAGTCAAGGAGACACGTTGATTGGGATATGGCTAAGAGTGCAGATTTGAAAGCTTGGTGGTTTCATGGTTATTTCTCTCCCTATTTTTTGGTCATTTGGTTTTTGAGGCAGGGTTTCTTTTGTTTAACCCTGCATAGCCAGGAATGCGTCTGTAGACCAAGCTGGTTTTGAATTCAGAGATTCACCTGCTTCTGTCACCCAAGTCCTGGGATTAAAGGTGTGTGCCACCACCTCTTGGCTTTTCTATGTCTTGATAACTTTATTACTTTGACCCTGTTTTGGGCCTCACTTTCTTGTATGAAAATGTGGTCCTATGAACTGGGCTCACTCTGTGATAAAGACCGTGTGCTTTAACTATGTGATGTTGTCTGAGCTGTGCTTAGCACTTAGCTGCTAATTTTTAGACTATTAGACTTCATATTATATCATAAAATATAGAAAGCCGTGAATGCCTTTTAAAAATTAGGGACTATGACAGTGGTGGAAAAATTATCTTGATTAAAAAAGTTAAAGTTGATTAAAAGACATTTCATACAAAATGACTACTTAGGACAATAGGATGAGGGATATAGGTTTTTATATAGGACTGAAATTATGACTGGTATAAATACTTATCTAAGAATACTCAAAGTATTTATTACAAGCTGCTCTCTTTTAGTACCTGTCTGAAAGTAACCCTGAATTCGCTGTCTGATTTAACAGTATGGAACAACCCCTTTGGTGTGGGCTGCCCGGAAGGGACATTTGGAATGTGTGAAGCATTTGTTAGCCATGGGAGCTGATGTTGATCAAGAAGGAGCCGTAAGTACCTCTCCTCTCGTACCCCTTCTAGTAGAGTGACGTTTTTACTTTAAGGGAGTAAGTTAAGCAAGTACAAACCTAGGAAAAATTCCCAGGAGTTCTTAAATGCTATTTTTGTTTTTAATTTTGAGATAGAACTTTACTGTGTAGTCCAGATTTTCCTGCCTTTGCTGCCAAGTGCTGGGATTTCTTAAGTGCTGTTGACTTTAGAAGTAAGCATGTTGCCAGGCGGTGGTGGCGCACGCCTTTAATCCCAGCACTCGGAAACCCTGTCTCGAAAAATCCAAAAAAAAAAAAAAAAAAGAAAGAAGCATGTTATGATAGGAAAAACACAATATATATTTGCCTTTGAGGATCTATTGCTAATATACATAAATTTTGGGAAACTAAAACTATGAAGAAAATTCTCAGTAATCTTATAAACTGAAAAATTCTTCAGATCAAGTAGTGCCCCCCCCCCTTTTCATGTCATCCTTGCGCAGAGGCCATGCTAATATTTTCTATCATTCCAAGTTTAGTTTATGTGCTTCCAAAGCGAGCACCCCACTTTTTTCTTTTTTAATGTTTGAAGATGTTTTGATAGAGTTTCATTAGTATCCTGGAACTTGCAATGTAGATCTGACTGACCTTGAACTCGAAGAGATCCTCCTACCTCTGCCTCTTGAACAAGGACAAAAGGCGCGTGCCACCATGCCAAGCTGGTTTTTAATTGCAATTGTGGGAAGCCATCATGCTCTATTAAAATGTCTTCCCTTAAAGTGATGTTAGTCTCCGGGGGATCTTTACTGTAAGGTGTTGTTCCTGTCTAATAAACAGGTTAAGAACATCAGATGTGGGCTGTTAAGGTTGAAGATTGGTCAAGTCTAACTGACTATCAGTTATTAATTCATTATTGAGCACCAGCTGTGTACCTCATCTGTGTCACGAGTGCCAGAGAGCCATGAGGAGCCTCACAAATAGCTTTTCCTTAGAGATTCCAAGAATGTTTCAGAACTAATGTTTGTGTGAAGGACTACTGCCTGTGTGATTATTATGTGGACAACTCATGATGCAGTCTGAGAGGAGATAACACCAAACCTTTGACACCTGCAGCCAAGTTAAACTCATGCTGGACTTCCTAGAGCAATGGTGTCCAGCCTGTCCTGTCTTCCACGATGGCCTTCTAGGTACTTTTCATCCTGCTTGAGCCTCAGCAGGTCCCGTGTCCACTGGCCTCTCTCCCAGGCTGTTGAGGAGATGAACAGCCTGCTATTGTGATAATCTGATGACCACCAGTTCTGTTTTACTGTATAAGAAAGGTGGCTAGTATTTTATAGGACTATATAGAATATGTTAACAGGCTTTAAGTACCATTAAAGATCATTTGTTACACTTTTATTGAGATGTGCTTTAGCTTTTAATTCATCACTTGCAGTTTTTCTTAAACATTTTATTATAAAAAACTCTTAGTTTGGTCCATTTTACTTTGGATTATTTAAGTTGGAAAATGTTGAATTTTGAGTCCTTCTTTAAACTTTGTTGCATCTGTGAAAGGCTTTGTTCCCAGTAAGTGAGTCCATTGTCACTGGAAGACCTGAACCTCCGGATAGCCTAATGATGCAACAGAAATAATGTATTTTTGAAGACTGAAAATACAGGATGGCTCAGTGGTTAAAGTGCTTGCTGCTAAGCCTGGTGACCTGCGTTCTGTCCTTGGGATCCCCGTGGTACTCTTATGACTTGACATCCACGAGTTCACATATATGTATGCCTGTGTACATGGGCAATAACAGCAAAATGTAAAGAATAATTTTCATTAAAAACCTGATTTTATTAAAATCCTGCCACTTTTGGTATATGTCTGGTTATTTATATTGGCATCTTGTCAGAAATAACTTCTAAAAATTTAATACATTTGTTTATTTACTTATTGGAAGGGGCACATGTATGCCACTGCACATGTGTGTTCAGAGAACAACTTGTGAAGATTGGTTTTCTCCTCCACCACATGGATCCCGAGGATCAGATTGAGGTCATCAGGTCTGACAGCAATTGTCTATGTCTTCTTGCTCGTCCTATCAGAAATAACTTTTAATGGCTGGAGGATCATTATAGTGGTAGAGCCCTTTCCTAGCATGCTCAAGGCCTGGGTCATAGGCTGGCACCACCCACTGTTAAAACTGGTTTATATTTAAAATATTGAGTATGTGCTTGTGTTTGCCTGTGGATATATGCATGTGAGTGTGAGTGCCTGCAGAAGCCAGAAGAGGGCATCAGATTTCCTGAAGCTAAACTTACAGCTGTTTGTGAGTCACCCAGTGTGGGTGCTGGGACTCAAACTCTCGTCCTCTGGAAGAGCAGCAGATACTCTTAACCGCTGAGCCATCTCGCTGGCTCCCCAACTGTTAATGATGGAAAACAGCTTTCTGATTATGGTATGCACAATATGTTTTCTAGAATATGCTAATTTCTTTGTTTTTCTTTGAAGAATTCAATGACTGCACTTATTGTGGCAGTGAAAGGAGGTTACACACAGTCAGTGAAAGAGATTTTGAAGAGGAATCCGAATGTCAACCTGACAGATAAGGATGGAAATACAGCTTTGATGATTGCATCAAAGGAGGGACACATAGAGATTGTACAGGACCTGCTGGACGCTGGGACATATGTGAACATACCTGACCGGGTAGGGAACCTACCTCAGCTTGTCTGTGGAGATGAAGTAGATGGAAAATTCGTTAGTGGTTCTTTCTCATCAAATGTCTTTACATATGACATGAGCTTGTTTTAAGAGAAGTTTCTATTTCTACTTTTGAAACTAATAAATTAAAATTTCCAGTCTTGTTAAAGACCTTGTTTACTTTTGTCAAATAAATTTGTTACTGGCAATGTCATACGTACGGTTAATTTGTAACTCCCTTTGATGAATACCCCTGTAGGTATTTTTCACGACTGGTGTTATTCATTGTCCCAGGACTTAAGTGCTGACTTATGCTTAAGGTTTTTTTTCCCTCTTGCCTGACTTCTTTCCTGAACATATATGTTCAGAACTCTCCATGTGAATGCATATTTAGTAAGCTTTTAAAACCTATGACAAAATAAAATGGAAGTGGGGTTGTTTGTGATTTTAAATCCCTTGAACCATTTTCCCCTCAGTTTTCTCCATCTCAGCAAACGGTTCTACTCTGCTTTACCCTTTCTTTACCTACCCCAGACGGTTCTGCTGACTCTCGGGAAACTTATCCTCCCTGGCCTAAGCCATACTCTCATGTTATTAAAACAAATCATAACATACTCCTCTATTGCCTCTGCTATATGTCTGCCTGCTATTGAATGCATGCATGTAACATACTCCTATTGCCTCTGCTGTATGTCTGCGTGCTGTTGAATGCATGTGCTCCTTTGTTGAAGCCATACATGGCTTTCTCTTGCACTTTGGTTGATACTACATTTTTAGTTTACAGTCCTTGTTTTGTGTCACACTCCCCCATTTAGGAGGTTACAGTCCTGTTAAGTCCCTTCTCTTGTTTGTCCTGCTGTGGGGTACAGCCATGTGCACCTGCTGTGTTCTCAGCCTAGAACGCTGTCCACCCATGTGACTCCTGCTTGTCATTTTACCTCTGTTTACATCTAAAGTGAAAAGTGCCCCCAGCAATGCTGAAGCATGCATGGGCAGCCTGTTTATGTTGGGTTTCATGGTCTGAGTTGATGAGGATGACTGACCAGGTCTCTTCCTCAAGGAACAAGTTCCACCGAGATACGCACTCGGATGGCTGGATTCAGAGTCCAGAGCACTAACCATTACACCATAGGAGCTGTTGCCTACTTACGACTACCTAGTCTGGAAAGGTCATCTTTAGCTATCCAGTCTAAAGGGGCTACCCAGTTACTTTTGATCAGATATGTTATCCTATTTGTGTAGTGTTTGCCTTGGTGTATTTATTTTATTGTATGTTGTCTTTCTTTGTGAGACTATAAATTTTCATAGAGCTGGGACCTTGTCTATCTTGTTTCCAATGCTTAGAATGGTACCTGGCACACTGGAACAAGAAATGGGTTCCTTACCAGTTTACTGGTTCTCACCCACACCATCACTTACGTTATTCACTAGAACTAGTCTGCCTAGGGTTTATTTAAGCTGTTAGTTGGGCAGCAAAGATACTACACCACAGTGCTGAACCTGAAACCCTCAGGGAATAGTTGACTCGCAGCCATTGGGCCCTCAGAACCAAAACAGGCAACAGCTCATGGGCTTACTTAACACAAAAGTCTACAACAGATCTACTGTTTAGCAACAAAATAATAAGATGCTAATATCAGATAGTATCAGTTAATTAAAAATCTCACTTTAGTGATACTCTTTTTCAAAGAGGTTTTTAGAAGAAATCTATTATATTAATAAATGAGTAACCTTAATTTCAGAACTGTGTTTGTTTACTAACGGACCTTGTTTTCTGCCCTTGTAGAGTGGGGATACTGTATTGATTGGCGCTGTTAGAGGTGGCCATGTTGAAATTGTTCGAGCACTTCTCCAAAAATATGCTGACATAGACATCAGAGGGCAGGTATGTGCACCCAGACTGCGGGCACCATGAACATGTGTGTCAAGTGGTCAGGATGTCTCTCCTCTTCCTTTCTTTGGAGATAAATGTATGTCCTAGGCATTGACTGTGTGTTATTGTTGTTTTAATGCTTTAGTGACTCAATTCTGAAGTTCCAGAATTAATGTCCTCTTTAATTCATATACAAGTAAAAAAGTTCCACACCATTCTAGGCTTTGTAGTGAAAACCTGCCTCAAAAAATAAAACAAGGGGCTAGAGGTGGTTTACTGGTTAAAGGTGCTTGCTGCTCTTGGAGAGGACTGGGGTTTAAGTTCCCAGCACCCATGCTGGGTGGCTCACAGCTTGCGTTAACCCAGCTTCAAGGGATCCGACCCCCTCTTCTGATCTCTGAGCTTCCACATAAGTATGTGGGTACGTGTGTGCACACATGTGCACACACATACACACATGCACATACACACAATTTTTTAAAATTCAAGTGAGCATTGATGTAGAGAAAGAGGAAACAAAGGAAAGCCTTTACAAGCAGGTGGGGTAGGAACTACTTTTGACGGTGGGCTGAGTTTTGGCAGGTAGGAGGAAGGAAGGCAGAGCGTTTTGGGGAAGCACAGTGGTGACTGTGTGATAAAACTCGAGAATGGGGAGTGAAAAGACTGCTGTAGCTACAGAACAGCGGCCTGCCGCTGAGGACAGAGAGAAGGAGAGCTGGAGATGTGTGAGTGGTACTATGGGCTGGGCAGCCGGACACATTTCTTAGACTAGGGACTCTTAGGAACAGGTTGGCATAGGAAACCTAGTGAGGCAGCTACAGGAGTTGTCATCTCAGTTAAAGGTAGATTTTCACTAGACGGTTCCTGGATCACCTGTTTTAGGCCACTGATTGATTACTCGTCTGTCTGTCTCGTGCATTTATTTTAATCAGTTTTGATGGATCTATGTGAATCAAAGGAACCAGATAGGTTGGTAAAGGATATGTTCAGGACAGTATAGGGTACTGGTGGATCTAGGTTAAGAAAACTACAGATAATAATGCCTGCATTTGTAAGAAACACGTTCCTACTCACTGTCTTCAGAAGTGCTGGACAGATGTATTATCTGGCATTCCAGATGGAATTACCTGGGCCAGCATGTTTAATAATGACTTGTCCAAAGTAGCAGAGTTCAGCTGTCAGTGACCTCTAACGCATTTATATTCCTGAAATCTGACTGCATCACACAGGTGTATTTTAGGGCTATGGATGTGACACAGTGATCTAGTGCCTGCTTAGAATGTGTGGCCCTGGGCTCCACCCCCGCAGCACAGAAACAAAACAGAAGCACAACTTAGCAGCTCAGCTCTCTCCTTCTTATTTAAGTAATGCTAAGTCTGTCTAGGATTCTTTCATGAAGAATTTCTCAGAAGTTAATCCTAGAAATCATGTAGATTGACATTACTTCCCACCTCTTTATATTCACAAAGAGCAGTTTTTTAATACTACTCCCCTGATTTTCTCTGATGATACAGGACAATAAGACTGCATTGTACTGGGCTGTTGAGAAGGGAAATGCGACAATGGTGAGAGACATTCTGCAGTGCAACCCTGACACCGAGATATGCACGAAGGTACAGATGCCGTTCCGGTCTGTTAGCTGAGTGACTTCAGAGTTGCAGTGTTGATGCCCTGTGTCAGAAGCACGCTGTCAGCTAGTCACAGCTGTGTTCTTTGCACTCTGGAATGCAGAACACTTTTGCTTTAAACCTCTGTGAGCTGTGCTTGGTTCCCCACATTAGCCATTTTTGCTTCACTCAAATCATGTGACACTGTACAAGACTTTGGTGGTTGTAGTTAGCTGTGTGTGCAAGTGTTCATGATGAAAATATATTTGTAATTCTGGTATAAAGTTAAAAATGCCTTAGGAATATAGTTATTTCCTACAAGACACTGGCTGGGGAAGGGAAAGCACTGAGTATGGGACTACTGACATAAAGTAAGCCCTGTTTTTAAACCTCCTCTGTGCCCACAGGATGGCGAAACACCTCTGATAAAGGCCACCAAGATGAGGAATATTGAAGTGGTGGAGCTGCTGCTGGATAAGGGAGCTAAGGTGTCTGCTGTGGACAAGGTAAGGACGTCTGTGTGGAGTGCCTGTGGAGAGATGGTGCACTGACCTGCATGGTGTGTGTGTGTGTGTGTGTGTGTGTGTGTGTGTGATGAGATGAGTTGACTAGCTGGGATCGCACACAGGGTGTGTATGTGTGTGAGTGTGTGTGTGTGATGAGATGACTAGCTGGGATTGCACACAGGGCATTTTGATTCTGTTCTAGCATTATTTTGTGGAGCAAGTAGGCTTAGTGTGTTATCTTCTCCTTCTCTGGCTCATAACCAGCTAAGAAAGCTGACCTTGGTCACCACCCGAGGAGGACATCTCAGGGGTAGCTTACCACAAGTCTCCAGCGAACACAGAAGAGTTAGGGACGGTGTGTTTCCCATGTAGACTGTAGACTTACATTGATGGTCCAGTTGCCAGCACAACATGGGGCAGTTCAAAAAACTGCCTGTATCTCCAGCTCCAGGAGATCTGATGTCTTTCTGTTTCCCTGATGACATATTCGCACGCACATATTCATACACAGATACATAAATAAAAATAAAAAGGATATATTTTTTTAATCAGGAAGGGCATAAAGTTAAAAAAAAGACTTTGAAATGGAAACTTCTGCTGGATGTAGTGTTTAAACAGTACTGGATGCCTTTAATCCCAGTTCTCAGGAGGTGGAGGTAGGCAGATCTCTGTGAGTTTGAGGCCAGCCAGACCCATGTAGAGAATTTCAAGGCCGGCCAGACTAGGAAAAGCAAAGGATTGTTGTATTGCCTATTTGTGGACACCTTACTGTCATCACCTCCTTTCTTGTTGTGCCACTGACTCAGCTGACTCTGTGTCTCCATTTTGGGATAAGAAACACATTGAAGTTCCCTATATAGAGGTGTCATGGGGTCCACTGTTTATAAGTGGCTGCTTGTGTCACTAGTGAGAGGATTCTATCTAGAGTCCTTTGTGTGTCGCTGTGGGAGACCGAGTCAGCACGTACTTATGGACAGTTGCTTTCGGGCCACTCTGTACTGGGAATTGGTGTGCTTTCCCTTGGACATGGGCAAAGAGGAGGCTGTAGGGCTCTCTGTGATGCTGCTGGTAGAATCCGGGGCCTTTGCACCTACGAAGTAAAGTGCTACCTAACTGATGGGGCCGCTGTTCCTTTAGTATTTGAAGTGACGCTTATGTGAGTTTTGAATTGTCTTTTCATGTACTATTTTACAAAAATAAACTGTGAAATAAAGATGTTTAACCTAGCTATTGTTGCTCTGTGTTCATTTTTAGTATATTTGTGGGTTTGCTTATGTTTTCCAGAGATTTTGTGTTCTGAGGATGTTTAGCCCTCTCCCAGACCTCTCACAGGTTTGAGAATGTGGAATGAAGTTGAGTGGTTCAGATGTGCTGAGTTTGAGGACTGATAGACAGTCAGGGGCTGTGACCAGCAGCCACTGGGAAGTGTGGGATGAAAAGCTAACAAGACCCCCAGGATGGGCGTGGGAACTTGGGGGGTTAGTGCAGGGCGGGTGAGTGCACGATAGCAGTGAAAATATTTTATTTATTTTTTTATTTTTTAAAGATTTATTTATTTATTATGTATACAACATACTGCCTCCATGTATGCCTGCACGCCAGAAGAGGGCACCAGATCTCATTACAGATGGTTGTGAGCCACCATGTGGTTGCTGGGAATCGAACTCAGGACCTCTGGAAGAGCAGCCAGTGCTCTTAACCACTGAGCCATCTCTCCAGCCCCCATATATATACCATTTTATATAGAACCATTTATCAGAACCATTTTGTCTTCTGTTTTTGTGTCTTCAAAAGTACCCAGCACATAAAGTCTTTTACATTTGCTCAGTTCAGCAGTTATTGTACCACATGCACAACACAGGAAGAAAACTAGAGAGGAACGTGAGACAGACAGTTTGGACAATGTCCTTCCTTGGGAGCCATGGTAAAGGCACTCAGGACTTTTATTCATTGTCTCAGAGCGGTCAGGGTAGAAGAGAGCTGGGATGTAATTTCTAGGTTTTACATCATCGGTTGTCTTCAAGGGATGGCTTGTGAAGTAATAGACTGGAAAGATCCCTTACAAGTAGGAGGTTTTATTAGTGTGGGATGTGAGTAAGTCCATGTTTGCAGAGTCTCGTAGGAGAAGGTCAGCCAATGGCAGGGAGTGAAAGGAAGAGATGGAGATACTGTAGTGGATGGAGGACAGATGTGACAAGATGGAGAACATAGAGTCATGGGATCTAAGCACTTCATAACAGCAGGTGCTTGACAAAGGTGACAGGGACTGATGGGGTTGATCATGATGGGTGAGAACTGGCATGGAAGCTGGTAGAAGAAAGCCGTGAGCTAGAATATGAACTAGTGGAGGAAAATGGTTGACATCCTTGGACAGTGACTGTTCTGATGGAAAGAAGGTTGTTGAGGAGTGGGTCCTGGCCTGGGAGGCATGCATGGCAAAGGCTGCTGCTGTTCTTTAAGTGAGAGAAGAAGCTGCATTCTAGAAACCAGGAGGGAGATATTTCTGAGAAGCACTTGTAGAAAGGTAGGGAAAGAAACTGAAGAACACAGAGATCCAAATTCATGTTATATTTGCACCATTTATGAGAAACATAAACCTCCAGATTGTCTGCTTTATAGAGGCATGGAAAGTGTTGTTCAGAGCTGGCCCTGAGAACGAGCAAGTTCAGCTTGTGCTGCCATTTTACAGAAAGGTGACACGCCCCTGCATGTTGCTATCCGAGGGAGGAGCCGGAGACTGGCAGAACTTCTTTTACGGAACCCCAAAGATGGGCGGCTACTTTACAGGCCCAACAAAGCAGGCGAGACTCCCTACAACATAGACTGCAGCCACCAGAAAAGCATTTTAACTCAAATATTTGGAGCCAGTAAGTAATGGGTTTTGTCCTTGACTGAGCCTGTGCATGCACAATTGTATGTTGTGTCTGTGTGTGCATGTACATGTGTGTGTGCATGTATGTTTGTGCATTTATCTGTGTGTCTGTGTACATGTGTATTTTGCTAGAAGTTGAACCCTGGGCTCTGTCAATACTAGGCAAAAGCTTTACCGCTGAGCAACTCAACACTTCTACTTGAGTTTTTAAATAATGAACTTCCAGTAAAATTATATGGAAAAGAAACGATCCAGCACACCAGCCCCCCCCAAAAAGACAGATTTTCAAGGTTTTTATTAGATTTACTCATTTTATTTTATCTGTATTTTGCCTACATGTATATATGTGTCTCCCAGGCTCCGACACCAACAAAAAGGTATTTTAAAAACTGTGTCTGGGCTGGTGAGGTGTCTTCAAAGGGTAAACACTCCTGCTGCTCAAGCCTGGCAACCTGAGGCTGATTCCTGGAACTCAAGTTGCAGGTGGAAGACCAGAGCTGATTCCACTGAGTTGTCCTCTGACCAACCTACACATATTGTGGCCTCTTCTATGGTCATAATAATAAACACTTTTTAGCTATTCTTTTACTGTAAAAAAGATTTTTAAAAATTTGTGTGTATGTTTCTGTGTCTATGAATGTATGTCATGTGTGTAGGTACACATGCCTGTGGAGACCAAAAGAGGATGTTGGATCCCCTGGAACTAGAGTTACAGGCATTTTGAACTGTTCAGTGTGGATGCTGGGAAACAAACTTGTGTCATCAGAAAGAGCAGGAGACGCAATTAACCACTAAGACATCTGTCCAGCTCCTCTTATGTCTTCTTCATTTTCCATCTTTAAAAATAATCTCACAGTTTTTGTTTGTTTGTTTGGATTGCCTTAATTTATTGGTATCTGAGTTGTTAAATCTTTCTGTCAGGAATTGTTATTTGATTGTTTATTATATTTTTCATTAATACTTTATAATATATTAATATACTATTATACTTTATAATATACTATTTTTCGAAAGTGTCTCTAGAGTTGAAATGTCTCTTGAACTTTTCTGCCACCCGCAGTTCTGAGGATTGAACCCAAGGCTCATGCATGCTAGCAGTGCTCTACTGCAGAGCTGCAGGGCTGCATCCCCCAGCCTTGGAATAACGGTTAAGTCATAGAGAAAAAAGCATTGTGTCTATTTTGCTAGGTTTTCCCCCCTTAGCTGTACTTCAAAATGATGTATCTTATCATTAAGTAATAGGTATATTATAAAAGATACATTATGTTCTTCAAAATGCAGTGTTTGTGTAAGAATCTCTGGAGTTGTTTTTAAATAGACTTAAATGTTCAAGATAAGCTCCCCACCCCACCTATAAACAGTAGGTTAGAATTGGTGTTCCTTCATAGTGATACCACTGTTTAATGTACGGATGTGATGTGCTTCTCATTCCAGGACACTTGTCTCCTACGGAATCAGATGGTGACATGCTTGGTTATGATTTGTATAGCAGTGCCCTGGCGGATATTCTCAGCGAGCCTACCATGCAGCCACCCATTTGTGTGGGGTTGTACGCACAGTGGGGAAGTGGGAAGTCTTTCTTACTCAAGAAACTAGAAGGTAAAGAAATGCTTCCATGAAGTCCTCGTCACAGCATCTGCCTGGGTGGTTGACCTTTCACTTCCTCTAGTCCATCCTCCCCTGAGTTTTCTCCCTAAGACAGGTCCAGTTGTGGGCCAGCATCCAATGCAACCCTTGGTAGTGCTTGTGTAGTGAAGTGGGTTTTTCACACACTTGTCAATTTGCAGGCCTTCCATGAGCTCTGTGCTGCAGTCAGGACCAAGTGCCTTTGCTAATAATCCAGGCCTTTCCCTCTGTTAGAAGCCTCCTCCCCAGTCCTAACACATGTACCTTTGGCTCTTCAAGGGCAGGCGTCAGTGTGTGTATAAACATGACCTCAAATTTTGTAGAAAGAATGACTGTGGTTCTTGTTATACTTGATGTACCTTTGAGAACTGCGGTGGGAGGATGAGGGGGTTGGAGAGGAACGGAGGTGATGTGTAGTTTGAACACGGAATACTGTTTATGTTTTTGCATATGGGAATGATATTTAGTACAAACCACAAAAACCGGTATCAGTAAAACCTTGACAGATGAGAATAATGGACACAAGAGTTTAATGCATCTTTAGGACTATGGGGAAGGAAGGGTAAGTGTGCAGTAGGGGATGGGATGCGTATGTTGAATGAAAGAAAATGTTGGTTTAAATGACTAAGCAACAACAGTATTAGCCAGGGCACTTCAGTGTCCACTTCAAGTTTCTATTAAACAGGGAAGAATGAGTTAAAAGTTACATCTAAGCAAAACAAATAACACTACACGTGACTTTTCTTTCAGATGAAATGAAGACTTTTGCAGGACAGCAGATCGAGCCCCTTTTCCAGTTCTCGTGGCTCATAGTGTTCCTCACCCTGATGCTGTGTGGGGGAGTGGGCCTAGTGTTTGCTTTTACAGTTGATACAAACCTCGCCATAGCAGTTTCATTGAGTTTCCTGGCTCTCTTATATATATTCTTCAGTAAGTCTTTGCTTTTCTAAATCTTCCTAAAAATGGAGAATAGCATTGCGTGCATGTTACTTAAAGCATCTGTTTCTTAAAAATCTACTTGATTTTCATTTTTTTCTATTTATTTATCTTTTAATCCAATCTTTTCTCATTTGCCTAGCTATCCCCATTATAATTGGCTACAAAAAAATAATCTTTTTGCTATTTATAAGTTGGTTTAGAATACCAGTGTTCACGTTTAGCTGGTGTAACTATAGGAAGCAGTGTACTTCTTGCTAACGCTACAGCAGGACTAGCTCACAGGCATGCTGTCTGTTACAAGCACTAGTGACTCTCACTACACTGCAGTAGATCTTGCAGAAGAGAGGCTCCATGGCCGTTGATGGCCAACTTTTGGACATTTTGACTATTGCTATGATTTTTCTGAAATCAAGCTAGAATCACTGTTTCATGATACACACCTTTAATCCTAAGAGAGGCAGGTGGATCTCTGTGAGTTTGAGACCTGCCTGGTCTACAGAGTGAGTTCCAGGCCAGACAGGGCTACAAAAAATAGCCAGACTGTGGTAGCACACACCTTTAGTCCCAGCACTTGGGAGGCAGAGGCAGGCAGATTTCTGTATTTCTGTGAGTTCAAGGCTAGCCTGGCCTACAAGAGCTAGTTCCAGGAAAGGCTACAGAGAAATCCTATCTCAAAAAACTGGAAAAAAAAAAAAAAGCAAGGGTATAGATTTGTTCCTGAGGGAAGTGGTGGCTTTAACAGTTGCAAACATGACACACTCAGCTCCTTTGCATCGAACTACCCACTGACTTAAGGCTTGGCTTTCCCTTGGGATTTATAGTCAGTATTTTACTTTCCAGTCTTACACACCGCCAGATTCCTTGAGGAATTCTTGGAGGAATAGTTAAGAATTAATATGGACAGTTGCAGTTACACAGTCACAGTTACCCAGGGTTAGCTCCCCTTTACTTGGGAGTTGACTGTGAGAAAACAAAAGCAGCCTGACCAATGCAAACTGTCAATTTCAGTCGTCATTTACTTTGGTGGACGGCGGGAAGGAGAGAGCTGGAACTGGGCCTGGGCCCTCAGTACCAGACTGGCAAGACACATTGGCTACCTGGAACTCCTCTTCAGACTGATGTTTGTGAACCCACCTGAGCTGCCAGAGCAAACTACAAAGGCTTTGCCTGTGAGGTGAGGCGGTCCTCTTGACAGCAGGAACTTTTAATGATGAACAAGAGATTTAAGAGAATTTTAGAAGGCATCTTATTCCAGAAAATATTGGTACCTTACTCTTTCTGATGAAAACAAAATAAAACAAAACAAAAGCCTGCCTCAGTACCTTAGGGAAACACTTTATAGTATATCCCCTTCCCATAGGTAAGGTCACTTTCCCACAGGAACGCTGTCTATTTTTATGGTGTTTTATTTGTACAGAAACCTCTCTCTCTTCCTTGATACCTGTTACATACTTGTGGCTTTTCTGGGACAGTGCCAGGGTTTCACCAGGGCTTCCCTAAGTAACCCTCCATAATGGAGCCGCACTGCAAGTCTTCACTACCGACTCCTCAGAAAGGTATTGGCCTTCCAGGTGGAGTTTCTGTAGGAAGAGGTCAAGACCAAGGAAGGCCTGGCTTCTCTTGAAGGAGCAGAAACACCTGGGAACCCTGCTCATGCTGAGCTGCTCTTTCCTCATCTCTGCATAGATGTATGTGTCTAAAATTACTGCGCATCTCAAGTAGGAAGTTATGATAAAAATGTGAAAGGGGAAGGACACTTAAGGAATAAAGGAAAAGTGTAAGGTTCTTGATAAAAGTAAGTTTGTTTAGTTTCAGCTAGAAACTAAAGAGGAAAATGCTTCCATAGGGGTTAACAAAAAGACTTATAAGCCTGTTAAAGGGTAAAGAAGTTTAAAATTATAATAAGGTAAAATATATATGATTTCAGATGAATGCAAGTCATTCAAACCATCCAAACTATGATAGGAGTATAGGTGAGAAAATAAAGGCTAAAAATACAAGCAAGGCCAGCTCTCTTTATCCTTGGTTCTGCATTGGTAGATGCAGTTCACTGTGGACTACCCATCTTTTCAAAACTTAGGCTTGATGAACATGTGCAAGCTTCTTCTTGATGCCATTAAACCATGCAGCATAGCAGCTGTTTACATGGCGTCTGCATTGTATTAGACATCATACATAGTCCAGCCATGGGTTAAAGTAGAGTGAAGTATGTGCATCTTGTGTTTTATATGAGAGACTTATACTGATCCTAGACCCAGCTGTCTGTGAATACTGAGGGACTTTTGCAATTAGCATATAAATTTAAGTATTAAAAAGATTTAAAATTGAGAAGTCTTAAGATATTTGGGGTTGGAGAAATGGCTCAGGGGTTAAGAGTGCTTCTTGCTCTTGCAGAGGACTTGAGTTTTGTTTCTACACCTATAATAGGTGATACACAAAAACCTGTAATTCCAGCCCCAGAGGATCTGATGCTCTCTTATGGTCTCCACAGGCACCTATACACATGTGTACATGAGCACACACATATGCACACACATACACATACATGCACGTGAAAAATGAAGTAAACAACCTTTTTAAAGAATGAAAAGTTTAAAGGAAAGTATACAGTTACAGTGTAGATGAACACAATTGGAGGAAATATTTACAGAAAATTAAAATAGTTTAAATTAATAAAATGGTAGTTTTGTTATAGCAACTAAACCAGTGTCAGTTAAGACTACATAATATAGTGCAGTGTCCTTCCAGACTGTAAGTTTGAAACATACTTCATCACTGGCTTGAGGTGAGAGTTTAATTTAGAGATAGAAGGAAAGAATGAATTAATGTAGAAATAAATATTTCAGAGACTAAAGATGTCAGTCAATTGATTTGAAGAACAACTGTGAAAAGAATATTTTACAGTTATTTCTAAATCCTTGGTATATGTTAACGCTATAAATAAAATATTAGAAAAGTTTGTTTAATCTTATTGTTAGGATGTATGGATTTTTATTGTATGTGCATGGGTGCTTTGCCTCATGTGGATTGCACATGTAGTGCCTGTGGAGTTTAGAAGAGGGGGGTCAGAGTTCCTGGAGCTGGAGTTACACGTGGTTGTGAGGTGCCTCGTGCGTGCCGGGAACCAAACCTCTCAAAGACCAGGAAGCATTCTTAAGCACTGAGTCTCTAGCAGAAAACTCGCTTTTAAATGGTATTACTGGGCTTGAATTCTCTGTAGTGAAGGTTCTCGCTTGCTCCACTCTCTGGCTGGTGTTTGAGCACTTTCTCTTTTCCTTCAGGAGGTGAAGCTCTGCCATCACTCTCCCCTTTCCCATTGTTCACTCATTGAAATGCACCTTGGTGTCTTCCTCAGAGAACCTCTAGCATGTTCAGGGTAGAAGATGGGCAATCCCAAGTTCTGCTTCACTCCCTCAGAACTTGAAAGGCAATATTTGTAAAGAACATAAAGAAAATATAGACTAAACGGGGCCTGGAGAGATGGCTCAGTGACTAAGAACACTGGCTGCTCTTCCAGAGAACCTGGGTTCAAGTCCCAGCACCCACATGGTGCTCACAGTCATATCTGTAGGACCAGTTCTAAGGGAATAGACTTCCTCCTCTGGCTTCCGTGGGCACCAGTCACACATGTGGTGCACAGATATGCATGCAGGCACACACTCATTCACATACAATTAAAATTGTTTTAAAAAGAGGAAACAGGTACTGTCTTTTTAAAAAGAAAAAGAAAATGTAGACTAAATGATAGAGATGGCATACTATGTTAGAAGTTTCTGCATCAGATAGCTGAGTAAATTCCTGTTTGGTCTCGCCCCAAGGTTTTTGTTTACCGACTACAACAGACTCTCCAGTGTAGGTGGAGAGACTTCCTTGGCCGAAATGATCGCGACACTCTCAGATGCCTGTGAGAGAGAGTTCGGCTTTTTGGCTACCAGGCTTTTTCGAGTATTCAAGACTGAAGATACTCAGGGTAGGACTCCTTCCTCCCCTCCCTTTCATTCTTTCCTGGTGTGTTTCTTGGGTGAGGAAAGTAGTAAATGTTCATTTTCCTTCATGAGACCATGAATTGAACCTCTTGACCATAAATATCACGGTATTTTGGGTATGTGATATGGCATTAATTGTCAATGCTATGTGTTCTGTTTCAGGTAAAAAGAAATGGAAAAAAACATGCTGTCTCCCGTCATTTATCATCTTTCTTTTCATCGTGGGCTGCATTATTGCTGGAATTACTCTTCTGGCTATATTCAGAATTGACCCCAAACATCTGACAGTGAATGCTGTCCTCATATCAATTGCATCTATCGTGGGGCTGGCCTTCGTGCTGAACTGCCGGACATGGTGGCAAGTGCTGGACTCTCTCCTCAATTCTCAGCGAAAACGCCTCCACAGTGCTGCCTCCAAACTGCACAAATTGAAAAGTGAAGGGTTCATGAAAGTGAGTACTCACCATTCGGAAACTGAGGTGGGAATATGCTGCCATTGCCCTGCTCACTGGGCATGCTCTTGGTATATCAAAGGGTTATATGTAAGCTGTATTGTTGTTTTGGTTTTTTCTTTGTTCACTGTTAGGGACTAAACCTAGGACCTTGTGAATACTAGGCTAGTATCTTACCACTCAGCTACATTTTATTTGTTACTGAGTTTGTTGTATTTAGTTTAGTTTAATTTGTTTGTTAGGTTTATAGGAAAATTTAGATATACCCCATATATATTGTGCTATCACACACACACCTGTCATCAGAGGGCCACATTTGCTCTGGTTGATGAACCTGCAGTAGTCCTTCATAGTCAGACTCCTTGTCCACAGTTTATTCTAGGTTCAGTCTTGGTGCTGTACATTTTGGGGGTTTGCATAATTATTTAATAATATACCTATGATCATACTATTTTTGCTGCCACGAAAGCCCCTGCCTCAGTTCAGCCCTCTGTCAAACACTGATGTCAGTAGTCTTTTCTAGGATGTCATGGAGTTGAAACCATGCAGTATGTGGTTCTTTCAATTGGGTTCTTTGACCTAATAATAGACATTTATGTTCCTTTCCTTACCTTAAAATGTTACTGCTTTCTAGGCTTGGATAATTTTGTAGTCTGAATGAAGAGTGTATGTTTATTCAGTTATGTACTGAAATATAGCCTTGCTGATTTAGATTTTAACAGTTATGAATAAAATTGCTATAAATATCTGTGTTCAAGTTTTTGTGTAGATGATAGTTTTTAGCTCTTTTGAGTAAATACCAAGGATTGCAATTCCTGGCCCTTATGGTATGAGTGTATTTAGCTTGGTTAAAAGCTCGATGCCACCACAGAGCCAAGAGTAGTGTGGTAATCAGTAGGTCTTTTGGGTGGAATTCAAGTCCAAGTCTATTGTCATTCAGAGTCTGTGATTTTGGCAAGCATGTCTCTGAACCCATTCGGTCCTTCGTAAATTCCTATCACAATGTTTTCTCATGACATGTCAGCCAATACACCAAAACCCTTACCACGGCTTTTAGTGGAACTGCCGCTGGCAGCAAGAACTTTGGATTTCTCCTCCTCTTGTTGAATGGCTTTCTCTTGTGCTTTTAAAGAAACATATTTCATCTTCTTGTATCTTCTGTGCTTTGTGCAGGTCCTGAAGTGTGAAGTGGAGTTGATGGCCAGGATGGCAAAAACCATTGACAGCTTCACTCAGAATCAGACAAGGCTGGTGGTCATCATCGATGGCCTGGATGCCTGTGAACAGGACAAGGTCCTTCAGATGCTGGACACTGTACGTCTCCCTGTCTCCAAACTTGTCACTGTGGCTATGTAAGATGCACGACGTCACAAAATATCTCAACTGTGATGGAAACTGTGCTTCTTATTTAAAAAACACTGGTTTCCTCTAATGACTTTCTCTTTTATAAAAAGAAATAATTTTTTTGTTTTGTTTTGTTTTTCAAGACAGGGTTTCTCTGTAGCTTTGGAACCTTTCCTGGAACTAGCTCTGTAGGCCAGGCTAGCCTCGAACTCACAGAAATACAGAAATCTTCCTACCTCAGCCTCCCAAGTGCTGGGACTAAAGGTGTGTGCTACCACAGCCTGGCTATTTTTTTTAATTATTTTTTTGAGACAGGGTTTCTCTGTGTAGCCCAGGCTGGCCTAGAACTCACTCTGTAGACCAGGCAGGTCTCAAACTCACTAGAGATCTGCCTGCCTCTGCTTCCCAAGTGCTGGGAAAACTAATTTTTTTAGTGTAGAAATATTGTAAAAGTAAATGTTTAATCAGGAACGTGTTTAAATAATCTCAGCATGATGATGGCTTAGGAAAAAAACAAAAACAAAGCAAACTAAACACCATGTGGAGTATCTCTCCATGGCACGTGTGGCTCAGCAGACAGTCGTGTTTGTATGCTGAGATGACAGAGGGAGTCTACGAATTTATAGTCTTGTGCTAGGAAGCAGAACACAGTAATCTAAGGTGTGTTATAAACAACAGTGGCAAACTGCAGAGATATGTGCACCCAGGGCTTCACATGTATTCACAGAAGATTCCTTTGGTGTAGGCTGCAGCTATCTGAAAAGGATATTAACTGTTCTCTTTGTTGTTTTTGGTGGTGGTGGATGATAGCACCAACACTAAGATTGAGCCACCTATAAAAAGTGTTTTTATAGGAAATAAATTTTTATGAAAAATGAATGATATTCAGAAAATATAGCACCAAAGGATAGAACAGGGTTTTTTTTTTTTTTTCTCTCTCCTCTGAACTAGGTTTTCCCTGCATAATACTGGCTGTCCTGAAACTTGCCCTGTAAGAGCAGGCTGGCCTCAGATTCAGAGATCTGCCTGCCTCTGCCTCCCAAGTGTTGGCATTAAAGGTGTGCACCACCACTGCCCAGCTAAGAATAGTGCAGATTTTAAGAAGATATTATTTTGTATAATTTTAAAATTTGTGTCATGTTCATGCCTTTCTTCTACCACAGGTCCGAGTTCTGTTTTCAAAAGGCCCCTTTATTGCCATTTTTGCAAGTGATCCACATATTATTATAAAGGCCATCAACCAGAACCTGAACAGTGTGCTTCGTGATTCAAATATAAATGGACATGACTATATGCGCAATATAGTTCATCTACCAGTTTTTCTTAATAGTCGAGGGCTTAGCAATGCAAGGAAATTTCTTGTAACTTCAGCAACAAATGGGGACATTTCATGCCCAGATACCACAGGTAGGTATCAAATCCCAAAGTCCTTGGGCTTGCGGTAGTCTTAAAGGTTTTATAGTTTCTTTTTACCTTAAAAGATAATGTCGCTATTTTACATCTCTTTAATATCACACGAAACAACTTGACACACATGGTGCTTTAATTAGTGACTTCCCTATTGCTGTGATGGAATGCCATGAGCAGAGCAACTTATAGAAGGAAGAGTTTATTTGGGCCATGGTCCCCAAGTGGTGAGAGTCCAGCACCATCATGGTGGGGAAGCATAGTAGCAGGCACGGCAGCTGGAGTAGCAAGTTGCAAGTTCACATCTTAAACTGTAAGCAGGAAACAGAACAAACATAAAATGGCATGCCTCTTTAAACTCTCAAAGCCTACCTCCAGAAGCACATTCCCTCCAGCAAGGCCTCAGCCCCTAGACCTCCTGGGCAGAGCCATCAGCTGGGGGACAAGTGTTCTGGGGCACTGTCTTTTAAACCACTAGGGTGATGTCTCCATGTGTTCTTCCAGGGATGCAAGACGATGCTGACAGAAGAGTCTCACAGAACAGCCTTGGGGAGATGACAAAGCTTGGGAGCAAAACAGCTCTCAACAGAAGGGTAAGGTGCCATCTGTGCCATCAAACTTAATTATGTGATTGATTTTTCCTTACAGTGTTGGGGACTGGACCTTGAGCAGGCTAAGCACGTATTTTGCCCTTTGGCTATACTCTGATTGTGTTGTTAGCAGTTATTCAGATTAAGTTAATCCTCCTAACACTCTTATCTAGTTACAATGTTAAGGTCTTGAAACCAACATTAGTGCTAAGTCTCCTTCCCACTTCAGCTGTCTCAGAGCTCCTGTACCTGGAGCAGCAGGACTTTGAGCTGGTGGGGCTCTCTGTCCTCTACAGCCGCTTCCCGGGTCAGGTGTTGACACTGCCCAGTGACTGGTGAGACTTCACAGTCCAGCAAATGATTGTGCCCTCGTGTTTGTTCCTGAGCAGATGCCATCTCTACCTTTATCTTCTTAGGTCCTTCTTCCTTGCCCAGCGTTTACAAGGTCTGTATTGTAGTCTCCACACCCATGTGTTGTAATAGGAGCGGTGGGGCTGCGTCCCGCCACCCGGCTAGCTTTACACCTGAAATAATTACACAGAAATTGTATTCTTTTAAACACTGCCTGTCCCATTAGTTCCAGCCTCTTATTGGCTAGCTCTTATATATTGATCTAACCCATTTCTAACAATCTGTGTAGCCCAAGAGGTGGCTTACCAGGGAAGATCTTAAACTGCGGCTGTGTCGGGTGGGAGAATCATAGCTACTGCCTGACTCAGCTTTTTTCTCCCAGCATTCTGTTCTGTTTACTCCACCCACCTGAGGGTTGGCCTATCAAATGGGCCAAGGCAGTTTCTTTATTAATTAACCAATGAAAGCAACAGATTAGAAAGAAATCACTTCCACATCATTCTCCCTTTTTCTGTTTAAACAAAAAAGAAGGCTTTCATTTTAACATAGTAAAATTACATATAACAAAACAGTTACCAAGCAAGAATTACAGTTACAATATTTATATCTATTTTATCTCTTATCATAACTAAGGAAAACTATAACTATCTATTCATTCTTCAACTCCATCAAAGACTGTAGAAGGATATAATACTACCTAAGTAAACAAGAAATAAGAAAACTCCAAAACTCTAGAAATGACAGAGACATCTCGCTGCCTGGACAGTCACCCAAAGTTCCTCTCTACCGTTGGGGCATCCATCTTCGGCCTTTAGGCCCATAGTATCCAGCAGACTTTTCCATGAAGCAGGCAATTTCAAAGACAGTTCAGTCACTTTCTGCTGTGTCCTGCAGAATGTCTCACAGACTCTTTTATGAGTCAAGAACCCTGAAAGACCATCTCACCTTTAGGCAAGTTCAGCAGTCCTCTCTCTGCGGGTTCTCTGTATCCAGTTTATGCAACAGTCCAGGCAAAGAGCAGTTTCTTACTCAGATGGCTATCAAACTCCATAACGAGCCTCTTTGATGCCCATCTTCCTCTTGAAGTAGATTGGTGCTGCCAGGAGCAGATGTGTCTCATTGTCATGAAAAGTCCTAAGTTATTAAAACATTTAAATGCCATATTCTGCAGTTTTTGAAAGATATGAAGAATGCCTATCTAACTGAAATATATATATATATATATCTAGAAAATCTAACATGACTACAAGCTTGACAATTATTGATGATTATCCATTAACAACCTATATTTCCTAATTATACATTACATTTTTAAATGAACTACACAATCACAATACCTTAATCAATATCAGAAAAACATATACATATAACAAAATTGACCTTAATACCAATAAAGCAAAATTTATACCAATGTAAATTATTCATATCTATATCATATCCCCCTTTAAATGTAAAAGAACATTTATAAGCAATATTTGGGAACATGGGCGCAGTTTTTTCTTTCCAAACTGCTTCCTGCTGAATGGGTGCACGGTTAATCAGATCTTTCATGGTGTAACCTGTGTGCCAGGGTCATCTCAGTCGGCAGTTGAGTGAAGTAATTTTTTTTGAGGGTGTTCACAGCAACCTTTCAGGAGGGCGTGGTCTATCATACCATATTGGGATAGAACCAATCCACAGGGTCTGGTCCTCTGTGAAAACAAAAGAAGACCCTCTCCAAAGCATCATATCCTTAGACCCAAATTTTGAAATCGTAATACCCTTATATCCATTCTGGTTTAGCTTGGCAGCCCATGTAATGAAATGTCTCTCTGTACTTAGCTCCTTCACAGTCAAAAATTTTAAAGAAAACACAATGTACATAATCCAGACTCTCTGTGAATTTTCCATTTTTACGTGGCTTATTTTTCTTTATTTCTTTTAATCTCTTAACTATTTGTACTCTGTCTCTTTAAAGATTTTACCCTTTTTTTTAAGCCATTGACTTTATTCTTTATATCCTTTTTCTTCTCTCTCCCAAGCCTATGTACATTTATCCAACAGTGTCTGAATCTGTTTTATTGTGAATCTGTAAATTTTTTACTATCCAGGAGCAATTTTTAAAATGTTAAGCACTTCTTAAAAACTTAAGTTGCACCATGTAGGGGTAATAAGGTACCACCTGTGTCCTGCCCAGCCTAAACCTTAACTGGGCTGTTATTATGGTAATTACGGTAGTTCCTGCTTGAGACCAGCACAGTTCAGCATGTTGGAGCTGAGCTGCTCCTGCCTCAGAGCCATTTGGTGCCCCTGAGCCATACACACAGTTCCAGACACACAGCAGTCCACATTGCCATCAAGCAAGCTGTAGCACTTTACTCCAAATGCTCCATACAAAAGCTCTGTCTCCCGCAGGAGCCAGACAGAGATCGCAATGGTGGCACAGCCTAGAAAGCCTGCATTTTAAAACAGCCAGTTTTTTCCTGCTGCTGAGTCAGAAAATTTCTTTGCAGCAAGCCACCCACAAACAGCCAAATGCTGTCTTAAATTCTCTCACTCTCCTTTTTAAGCCCTCTCAGGTTTTATGTGGAGTTCATTACCACGCTGGGTGCCACTCTGTAGTGATATCCCTTCCCAGTCTCCGTGGGTTTCTGGTCCACCCATCTTATTCGTAGGAGTGTTTATCTAGGTTATAAAGTGAGATCACAGGTTTGGGTGAATCTTGTCTCCTTTTCTAAACTCAGGTTCTACCCAGGGCTGTTCAGCTTATCTTCCCTGGAAGATGGGCAAGCGCAGGTATCCACATGCTCCCTACCTACATGGAAGGGAGTCCCATCTACTTCCTACTGACAGCCGTGGGAGGCTCCGTGGACAACTTATCTAATTGAACCATTCATTCACTGTTTCTCTTCCAAATTCACTTTGCCTTAGGATACAAGTTCAAAATTTACTGAGGACTGTATTCCACTGTAGTTTATTTTTATATATCCTGTCAAAGCATTTAGAAAGAAAAAAATAAACTCAAAATTTCCAAGAGCAAAAAAAAAAAAAAAAATAGAGAAGATGTCCACCTACAGGGAAGCTTTGCTGATAGTGCTCTTAGGGCTGACTGATACGGGATTATAATGGCATTGTCTTTTTTTTTTTTCTGGTTTGCTACCATTTGGACATGACTTTTTAAACCTTGTGTCTTTGGTTTTGTGCCCACATGCTTTATAGATATGAATTCAAAGTTAGTATGAATGACAGCTGACATAGTCTGGGGAGTGTTTCAGTATTTTTAATTTCTCTCCTAGGAGTCCAGGTCCTTGGGTACTTGTGATTGCATCCATCTACCCTACACTTCAGGACTCGAGGCTATGCCTCTGTTGTGTCTGTTCTTGTCTTAGGAAATGGGATTTTATCTACTCCAGCCCACTCTGCAGAGCACCTTTCACTCTTTTAGGAGCTGTGGAGAAATTGTATAACACTTTAAAACAGCCTACAGAGATGCTGGGTCCCTAGAACTGTGCGGGAGCTCACTTTATTGTCTTAGGGTTCCTTCAGTGTGGAGGCTTCCTGGAGTCTGACTGGGATTCTCTTTATGGAGTTCTGCTCACCTCCCATCTTGGCATTAAGCTTTCCCCAACTGTCCAGCGCTCAGTGGGCATGCATCCATGCGTTGCTGCCAACTTACCTTATAACTTCTCTGTAAGCTTCTGCCTCAGAAGTAGTTGTACTTGATTAGCACATAACCTTCCTTTTGGTTAATATTGCGAATTGTGCTATTTTTTTTTCGAGATAGGGTTTCTCTGTAGCTTTGGAGCCTGTCTTGGCACTAGCTCTGTAGACCAGGCCGACCTCACAGAGATCCATATTCTTCTGCCTCTAGAGCACTGAGTTTAAAGGTCTGTGTCTGCTATTCTTACCCAGGGCTGACTCAGCAGCCCCTTTTGTTGTTCTTCTCATTTGCACACATTAACTCTCTACTGGTGGTGTTGTGTTTCAGGATACTTACCGCAGAAGACAGATGCAGAGGACCATCACCCGGCAGATGTCCTTTGATCTCACGAAGCTGCTGGTCACGGAGGATTGGTTCAGTGACATCAGTCCTCAGACCATGAGACGATTACTCAATATTGTTTCTGTGACAGGTAACTTTTGTGTCTTGAGCTATATTTAGAGGTAGTAGCCGCTAAACTCAGGGCTTGCATGAGCTCGGTGAGTGTTCTGCTATCTGTCCAGTGTCCCCACCTGTCACCACAGTAAACTTAAGCAATAACAGAGCATGCTGCCATCACCTTTGTTTTTATTAAGTGGATGTCAGTAGTAGTTGACAGTCAGATGTCATTTGGAAATTTATTTTAAGATTTCATGATTTTAAAAGTCTTTTGCTTTATATTTAGTGTAAATTTATACTAATTTATGTTACAGCACAAATTGTGTTGAAATTCAGATTTTTTATATACTACTATGTTGTTTTAGTTTTTATATGATATTTTGAATAAAATGAAAAAAATAATAATGTAGATTATTAGTCAGATGGTGGTGGTATACACCTTTAATCCCTGCACGTGGGAGGCAGAAGCAAGTAGATAGCTGAGTTCTTAGCCATCCTGCTCTACAGAGTGGGTTCTAGAACCGCCAGAGCTACACAGAGAAACCGTGTCTCAAAAAATAATTGAGATTATTGCTATGACCGAATTATTTGTGTGGATGCTGCTCTTTGCTATGTTAAGACTCGTCAGCATTAGGATAGTCTTAGATATACTTGTAATGTAACTTAGAGAATATGTTTCTTTCCTTGCATGGTATTGCTTGATACTTTCTGATATTTCCTAGTGTTGTCTGTCAATAGGAATTGTCAATAGGAACTAAGTTTAAGACTCATGCCTGTATTACAGGTGGAGCTGTACCTAACATAGCATTTTTCTAGCTTAATCTAATCTCACCCTTTAGGTGAGACTCCAACCTTCTTATGCTGGTTGGACAGTGGAACTGTTTCCTGATATTATCAATAACACTGATACATCCTGTTGTCCTCTTTGTGCCCGGAGTTGGTCTGGATGTTGTAGAAATGAAACAGTCAACAGGAGAGTACAATTCTCACCCAAATTCTTCCTCTCCCTGGGACTTCTCCTGCCCCCCACCCCGCCCCTACTTACTCTCAGCAAAGCTCCTTGATAGTTCACTGCCCTTTCTCATACCACTCTCCCACCAATGCCCTTCTTCTCAGGACTTCCCCAGTGGCTTCTTCAAGTTCCCCAGTGGCTTCCACATGAATCTTGCAGTGGCCAGGTCTTCGTCCTTGTCTGGACCCCACAAGCAGCTATGACAATGTGTTGGTTGCGTCTTTCCTCTGGTGTGCAGAGTGCTACACTTGCTGGATTTTCCTCCTAGCTGTTGTTAGTTAGGCTGCTCTTACTGGGCTGCCCTTGACTACAGTTCCTGGAGCTCAACTTTGTATCTTTACCAGTTGTTTTAACTTGGTCTGCAATGGTTCAGTATGAACAGTAGGTTTTCTTACTCCCTTTTTAGCTTAGGTGTCAGTTTTTCCATGAGACCTTCTGCATCTCATATGAAATGGCTCCTTTTCCTGCTCTCCCTGCTTCATCCTGCTCCAGAGAAAGCTGTCTTCTAACATTGTTGCTTACTCTTCCTTACTCTCTGGGATGGGAGAGCCTCATTCGAGAGTTTTTTGTCTGTTTAACTGCTGTACCCACTAGAGCATCTGCGATTGATTGTTAATGAATAAGAGACCTGAATGAAATTAGAACTACGCCTTACATACTTCTTGTAAGAAATACTCTAAGCAAAAGGAAGAGCAAGACAAAGGCTTGAGGTGGGATTTCAAGAACAGCTGCCTTTGTGGAGCTGGCACGGGAGAGCCGTGGGAAGTGGTGTAAAGAATTGCAGCTCCTTCAAGGCCTTCTGGCTCTAAAATCCACAGGAAGGAACTTAGATTGTTTACACATCTGTGGGTACTAGAAACAGACCCGAGTTGATATCTTTAAATAATTGATGCTAAAGCCAAGCTTAGCGGCACAGACTCAAAATCTTAGCTACTCACAAGACTGAGGCAGAAGGATCTCAAGTTCATAATCAGCCTAGTCAACATAGTGAGTTGGATGTAGAGGTTTTACATCTATAATCCTAGCACACTGGAAGTGGAGGCATGAGGATCAGGAAGCCAAGACCAGCTGGGCTATGTGAGACCTTATATTTAAAAAGACAAAAACTCAACCTTCTACAGAAGTGTATTATCAAGCTTATTTTAGTGTTCAGCTTTTCATTTTTTGCTGCTCCCTACAAACAGACTCATTTAGTTAGATGCTCATAGTTATTTCATAGGTTTGTTTGCTTATTGCATTTATTACCTGCGCCACTGAGTCAATGCTTCTTAGGAAGGCTGTGGCCATATCATCTATTTTGTTCTGGGCTTTACCCCAGCATCAGTGTTTATGATGAGTCTATGGCATGCATAGCTGGCAAACATGGTAACTTAGCTCACTCCCATCCAGCAGAGTAGACCCCACCTCCCCAGAAGCTCCATGGTGAAAATTCAGAGAGTGAGGGTGTGAGGCAGGGGGAGAATTGGATGAGGAGCCATCATCTATATGATGAGAGTCTGGGGAAAGAGAATTGCCGTTAGAGTCTGTCAGACAAGTAGATGCAAGTCCAGGTACTAAACTGATGATGGTATAAAACCGGGTGTTTTCAGTTAAGAACCAAGCCTCAGTTTGTAGTCCTGTCAAGTCAAGGTGAAAGTGCTGGTGGAAAGAAGCCTTGCCTCTGAAGGCTTGAGGTTTGCAATTGTCCACAAGTGCACATACCCTGAGATAGGGAGCTGAATTAGTCCTCTGAACGCCCTGCAAACAGGGTCATTTTATTCAGTGTATAATGTACAAGTTTCAGATACCTGTACCTGGGTTGGTAGTTAGTAACACAAACTAAGTAAGGAAGAATGGGGGTCGATGACGTCATAAAGCAAAGATGCACAGTGTGTTTGGGTTCCCTTTGGGTCCAGGGAGAAGTCGTTAGCAGTCATACTTCAGAGCATTGAGGACTACCTTGGTCTTTCATTTTGTTTCTTGATTTATTTTTTGAGACAGGCTTTCACTGTGTAGCCCAGGCTAGCTTCAGACTTGTATCCTACTTCAGCCTGCAGTGCCAGGATTACTGTGTCTGCCACCATGTCCTCTGAATTTTTAAAATCTGGATCTTAGAAACCATACAAATACTAGGTGTAGGTCTGTATTATAACCAAAGAGCAAAAATTTCAAATTTGAAAGATCAGTTGCTTGTGACTTTACTAAACCTTTTACTTAGTATGTCTACTAAGTTTTAAATGTTTATCTATTCTTTAAAGGGCGGTTACTAAGAGCCAATCAGATTACTTTCAACTGGGACAGGCTAGCCAGCTGGATCAACCTTACCGAGCAGTGGCCCTACCGGACGTCATGGCTCATACTGTATCTGGAAGAGACTGAAGGTGTCCCTGATCAGATGACATTAAAGACCATCTATGAGAGGTATTTGGTTTGACTTCTTTGCCCTTAACTTCACCTTGAGTTGAGTTTTAAAACACAAATAATGCTTACAAAATCTCTACTTCTAAATTGAGTCCAGCTCCCTGGGTCCCCTGCTGTTCTGAAACTGTCTTAGCACAGCTGCTGTCCTTTGAGCTTGGTGCTCTGTTTGTGCTTGTCATCGTTAATGGTGTGTCCAGTTGTGAGAGTTACTGGCCCTTATAAAGTCCCAAAGCCAAATGATTTTGCTTGCCAGAACACTTACAGTAGCTTCAAGGCCCAGTTTCTAGTCTAATAAAATAATAAACTAATTCTTAGAAAAAGATAGCCTGCAGAAACTCTGTAAAGTTTTATAGAATTTAGTATAATTGAAACTGTTTTAAAATATAAATAAAATATTAATATAGTTCATAGTTTATAACCTTTAGGAGTTTGGATAATTTTTATTCCCTTAAAGTATTGTTAGTATATATATATTTTTTGTGGTGTTTGCTTTTTAGTTTTTGGTTTCTTTTTTTTTTTTTCTCAAGACGGGGGTTCTCTGTAGCTTTGGAGCCTATCCTGAAACTAGCTCTTGTAGAGCAGGCTGGTCTCGAATTCACAGAGATCCGCCTGCCTCTGCCTCCCGAGTGCTGGGATTAAAGGCATGCACCACCACCACCCAGCTAGTTTTTGGTTTCTTGAGACAGGTTTCTCTGTGTAGTCCTGGCTGTCCTGTAACTCACTCTGTAGACCAGGCTGGCCTCAAACTCAGAGACCCGCCTGCCCCTGCCTCCTGAATACTAGGATTAAAGATATGTGCTGCCAATGCCTCATCTTATCGTGAGGTCATGAGTGGACTTGTCCTTGCTTGTTAAAACACTAAACTTTATTTCCTGAGTAAACTTGTCTGTCTTGACTCAGGAGTTAGGTAACTGTGGATGTTTGCTAGACGAACAGTTATTAGAGTTAACATGGAGCCTTTAGAACATTTTCTTGCAAGGAAGATAGAGGTTCTGAAAGTTAAATAACTTCCCAGGTTACCCAGTCTCATGCAGCAGAGCTGGCATTTTAATTTGGGTCACTCTGACTCCATATGCCACTCATTCTGAGCACTCCATGGTGTTAACTCTTCATTCCCACAGTTCTGAGATCTGTACATTGTTCTCATTCTGCATACTAGAAAACTGAATTCAGTGGAGATCACTCACTTGGTCAAAGGTCAGTGCATGGTAGAGCTGGGATTTAAAGTGAGGCTCCACACCCGTGCTCTCCACGTGCTGGTAGGTCACCTTTCATTGTGCTCCACACCCGTGCTCTTGTGTGTTCTGGTTGGTCACCTTTCATTGTGTTTGCACAATGCGTGGAACTGGATTCCTGTCGGAACACCCTGGAGTTTATCATGGAATCAAAGGGCTAATGTTTGTTATGGAACCAAGGGTTGAAATTTTGACCTTTTTGCATTTTTTTTAGAGAATATTGCAAGTTACTGAAGTTAGTATATGAGATTTCCTATGTTTTCTTTTTAACTTCACTAGCAGCTATTCCAGAAAAAGCAGATAATTGCTATTTTTTTCTTGTAAATTGTGTTTGCTTTCTTATAAACATGAGTTTTCTGTTTAAAATTAACTATTGGTTAGCTACTGCCTCTTCGGTCTCTCTCTCGTTTTTAGACAGAGTATTCATGTTAGTCTTCAGTTTTGACATGGAATAGGCTTTAGATGAGTCTCCTTACCTGCTGTGATTGAGACTGCATGGAAGTATATTGTATCTCAGGATCGTAGACACTATGACCACAATCCAAGAATTCTAGTAGATTTCTAGTTCTTGGTCTTCTGCACACTCTATGACAAGGGTGGGAAGAGTGAAAAAAAAAAAAGTCCCCAGGCAACAGAAGTATGAGAATATAAAATGAAACAGAGATTAAAAGGGCATTTGGGGGAAAAAAAGGTCTCTGATTCAGGTCAGTACAATGATGATCAGATCTCTGTGGCCCTGCCTGCACTGCACTGTTGTCATTTGGATCCATGTCTCCCTGAAACTCCCAGAGCCTTGTGCTTGGTGGTCACGTATTCTACTGCTAATCCACAGCAGCCCAACTTGTTTTCTTTAAGGAGCCAAGATTAGTAGGTGTTTTGGAGCTTAGTTGTTTTCTTTGAGCTTCTTCTGTTCATCCTTGTTGATTTCTTAGTGTGACTTTTTCCTGAGAGCCAAAGCTTTCGTAGTTGTTCTTTATGCTCTTGTGTGTTCTAGGGGTGGGTGGGGTGAGCAGAGGGGGAGATGGAAAAGAATGTTGTGTCCTTGAAGGATGGACATACATTTGGTTGTCTTTTCTATTTAAAAGTACTTTCAAACTTTAGCAGTTTTGCAAGAATAATAATATTACAAAGAACACCCGCATCCCACCCTTCACCAGGCTCCTCTGTTCACATCGACTCCGTTTGCACCATCAGTCTCATCCACATCTTCTTCCGAGTGCCTGCTTCCCTTTATGTTTTATATATCTGCATACAAATGTAAGCCGAGTGGGGAACTTATATACACCATATAATTGCCCCTAAATGCTTGAGATTTGGGGGCTTATATTCTGATTGAAAATAAAGCTTACAAATTTAAAACAAGTAGAGACGGGGGAGAGAAGATGGCTTAAACAACTTGTCAGTTAAGTAATTTTCTGAGTGGGAAAAAATGAATTATTCTAAAACCACTTCTCTTTGTTGAGAGATTGTTGCTTGGTATTTTCTTTTTTATTCTTTTTTAGGGAAGAAAGATTTATTTTTGGTTCATGTATAGTCTGTTGTGCAGTGTGAGCATGGAGGACTAGAACTGCTCACAGAGTGCTGACCAGAAGGCAGGGAGAGCATCTACATTTGCAGGCTTGCTTCTCTCCCCACCATTTATCCTGCCCGGGCCTGCAGCCTGTGTGTGCTGCTGCCTGCACGCTGCATCCAACCCTGCCAACCTGATAGTTGACAGATCTTTCCAAACCGTAACCTTCCACCTCGACCTGTCTTCATCATTTGAAATGCATTCCATCCATCTGTCCCCATAACAGTTCCAGTATTGTTCAGTTGTTGAAGGTCAGTGTCTCATCTGAGACCCATGACAGACTTTTAGCTGTGGATCCCTGCAATACCTAAAAGATGTTGTATTTCCAAATTACAGTGGCAGAGTAAAGATCTCCCTTCTCAAAGGAAGGAAGGGAGGGGCTTGGAAATCAGGCATAGGTCAAAACTTAACCTAGGCAGCAAATATTAGATCATGTAGTTCCGTGTCAGGCCCCTGCAGCATGTGCTGTTGTGATGTGAGATCCAACAGCTCAGCATTCTTGTCTCTATAGTTTTCCGTTGGTAGGCCTATGGCCTTTGTGTGGTTCTCTCTGCTCACTGCCTGCAGCTTTCCTAAACAGATGCTCCTTGGTCCTGGGTATCTGACTTCCCGAGTCACTCTTATGCCTTTGGCTTCACCTTCACGCTTTATACATTGCTTCCAGGGCCGCCTGCATACACACCAACCCCCTCATCTTCTGCCTGTCTTCCTAGGTGTTTTCTGGAAATCTTTACTTAGTTTCCAAGACCCTGTAACATTTGCATTCTCTGTCTGAAAAGCCAGCATCAGATAGCTGACACCAAAATGTGCAGAACACTCAGTTTCCTCGTAGTGTCCCCATCTCTTCAGCAGCCTCATTTCATTGCTTCAGAACCGTCCATGTGCTGCTTTTATGAAACTTAAGGTTTTTAAATCCTTCTGCTCCAGTGTGGTTCTCAATTCTTCTTGTAAACAGGACTAAAAGGAGCTGGTAATATTTCCTCTGCCAGATTACTTAGTCCATCCCTTTAAACTCAGCCTCTCCTCAAGTTTTAGGGTGTGAACAAAACAGACAGGACTTGGGGTCAGAGGGATAGACCTTGCAGAGGACCTGGGCTCGGTTCCCAAAACCCTCTTCTGACCTCTTTGGGCACCAGGCACATACCTACATACAGACAAAACAACCAGATATGTAAGTCTTAAAGTCCCTTTTAATGTAGACAGGACTTTTGCTAGAGTGTAGTATACATGGCCTTTTTGGCCTGTTTTCAGTAGTCTTTTGTGGCTGCATCTCAATGGACTGTGTTTACTGTTCTTGGTTCCATCAATGTTCTGGTTTCTTAAGCTCCTCCAGTAATCACTCACAAGCTCTGCTTAGGGCGTCCTGAAGCTTCTCTAGCCAACATCTCCCACTTCTCCAGATTCTTCCTGCAAACCAGGTCAGAGGCTTCTGAACCACATCTCAGGAATGCCACGGCAGCCACCCCACTTGTCTGGTACTATGAATGCCACGGCAGCCACCTGAAGATGGACACTTAAAAGAAATCCCACACTAGCTCAGAACTGAGAATAATAGAGGTTTGTTTATTTAGGGGTAGACCCACAGATCACAATCCTCTGCTGGAACAGAGAACTGCAACCAAATCCCGCAGCCAGAAAAGAGGCAGGACACGTGCTTTACATTGACATAAATAGTAGAAGAGGTCACACCCAAGTGAGCAGGTAACTTAAAGGCTACTGGCAGTAGGAATTCCTACAGCAGCCACTCCACTTGTCTGGCAGTAGGAACTCCACAGCAGCCATCCCACTTATTGGTACTAAGAATGCCATAGCGATCACCCCACTTGTCTGGTACTCATTTTCTATGCTAATCAGGCTTTCCAGGCTGTGACTTTAGCTTATGAGAGACAGCATGCATTTAGCTCATGATTTCAAAGGTCTGTCATGGTGGGGAGAGCCTGGGCGAGCAGAGCTGCTCTCTTTGGGGCAGTTAAGGGACAGAGAAAGATTGCCTGTGCTTTGCTTGAAATTTAAAGTTTGCATTACAGATCCCACCATCAGAACCTCATAGGTAGTTCCGAAATCTTTTCATTTTGAAATTAAAATATGTGTTGTAGACAATAGTGAATACTTAACATGTAGTTTAGAGATAATAGCAATTATTGTATCCTTTTATGAAAGACAGAATATTGTGTAAGAATTATTTTTGGAGGGAA